GATTACTGGAACCATGTCCTGTGGTCTGATGAGACCAAGATAAACTTATTTGGTTCAGATGGTGTCAAGTGTGTGTGGCGGCAACCAGGTGAGGAGTACAAAGACAAGTGTGTCTTGCCTACAGTCAAGCATGGTGGTAGGAGTGTCATGGTCTGGGGCTGCATGAGTGCTGCCGGCACTGGGGAGCTACAGCTCATTGAGGGAACCATGAATGCCAACATGTACTATGACATACTGAAGCAGAGCATGATCCCCCTCCCTTCGGAGACTGGGCCACAGGGCCGTATTCCAACATGATACCGACCCAAAGACACCTCCAAGACGACCATTGCCTTGCTAAAGAAGCTGAGGGTAAAGGTGATGGACTGGCCAAGCATGCCTCCAGACCTAAACCCTATTGAGCATCTGTGGGGCATCCACAAAGGAAGGTGGAGGAGCACAAGGTCTCTAACATCCACCGGCTCTGTGATGTTGTCATGGAGGAGTAGAAGAGGAATCCAGTGGCAACCTGTGAATCTCTGGTGAACTCCATGCCCAAGAGGGTTAAGGCAGTGCTGAAAAATAATGGTGGCCACACAAAATATTGACACTTTGGGCCCAATTTGGACATTTTCACTAAGGGGTAGTACACCCCTTAGTGAAAATAGCTTTTGTTGCCAGCGTTTTAGACATTAATGGCTGTGTTTTGAGTTATTTTGAGGGGACACTCACTACTTTACATTGTAGCAAAGTGTAATTTCTTCTGTGTTGTCACATGAAATTATATAATAAAATATTTACAAACATGTGACATACTGTGTGTGTATATACCGAGTATTTGGGTGAGTACTCGCCCAAATGTTCCGATGCCTAGCCCGATACTTGAGCTTCCAGTATCAGGAAGTCGGGCAGCGAGTCAATACACACAGCCCGGCTCCAAGCTCCCTTGTGACAAGCGACGAGCGAGCATGGAGCCTGCTTCCTGGCCAATCAGGAAGCCTGGCAGCGTGTAATGACTCGCTGCCCGGCTTCCTGATTGGTCGGGAATCTGGCCAATCCGTAAGCTGGACAGCAAGTTATTACACGCCCCCCGGCTTTCTGATTGGCCAGAAAGCCAGCTTCATGCTCCCTCGTCACCTGGAACCAGTGTTTTTCTTAGGACATTTCCCTTCACTTGTCACAGAAACTGAAAGTGAGTGGCCTTACATGGCGCCCGGCTTCCTGATTGTCTAGAAAGCTGGCTCCATGCTTTCTTGTCACCTGGTGATGAGGAAGCATGGGGACAGCTTTTCTGGTAATCGGGAAGCCGGGTGGTGATTCTTTACACGCAGCCCGGCTAATCAGGAAGCCAGGTGGCAAGTCATTACACGCCACCTGGCTTCCTTAATGGGACTTCCGGATTTGGTATCGGCGAGTACTGAAGAAAGAAAAAAATTAGTACTCTATACCGAAATGTTTTTATCAGTGCATACCTTACACTGGTCCTGGCCAGAGGTGACTTGTTTTCTTCCTGAAGGTAACATATATATATCCCAACATGGAGTACCCTGTGAGATGTTCTCAGAGGGGCACATATGACCGGCTGGTCCAGTCATAGTGTCCCTCTACAGGCATGCAGCACACTGGTCCTGAAGATAACAGTTTCTGTTGTGAGTTAGTTCCAGGGGAAGCCCTCCCACCCGGGAGGTATGTCTGTAATGGGTAATTGCTTCTGGGAGGGAGTGGGGTCCCCCATATGTACGGATGTGTTGGTGGTCCTTATGGTTCTTTCTACTGTGAGCTAGGGGCTACAGCAGTGTTTTGTCTGGTGAGTCTGTTTCCCTGTGTGTTGGAGTTTTCTTACTTGCGACCATGTCTCCCAGCCGGAAGCTGCAGTTGCCATTTTGCTGTGGGTTCTGCACTCTCCCTGTTGGGGACTGTAACTGTCTCGTTTGCCCACATGACCAGAAGCTCAGGAAGGCAGGGCATACGTGTCGTTATGCTGGCCGCTTGATGTCCACGGGCCAAATGGGACTGTTAGAGTTGTCCCCTAGACAAGAGGTAAGTTGCATTCTCCCAGTGGGGACAACTGTCTAAGATAAAGTTACCAAATTTTCAAAATGAAATCTGGAGACACCTTACTGATCACCCACTTTTAACCACACACACCATTTTTTAACACACCATCTAACAATCACAGACTTTTAGAACAAGAAACAGACATTTAACATATAAAGACAAAATAAACACATTTCAAATAAGAGTCACCCATATATGCCTGCATATTTAGGATGGATGTGTTGAAGGCATTATAAAGAAAAATGCAGCATAGCACACTGCTCACCGAATACCATTAAGTGTGGTCAATAAAGTCAGTGTGTGGGAGTACATACTGCAAGTCATACACAAGATCAGCAAAGTGCAAAGCTAGTAAGGCTCTATTAAACAGTTTTGAAGAAAAGTTTGAAAAACATAATACAAGTGCCACTGCAAAACAAACTTATCATAACTTTTTTTAGGTTCAGTGAAAAACTTGACATCCCTTTTTATTCACATTGCAGGGGTCAACAATAAGACTTGCAGGGTCCAGAGGTCAGTAAGTAAGGCATAGTGCATGAGTCAGAAGTAACACAGCAGAGTTCAGCAGTATGTAGCACAGAGTGCAGGGGCAAATGGAAAGTAATGCAGGGTTCAGTATATAACACAGAGTTCAGGGGTCAGTAGTAACACAGCAGAGCATCCTGAAGCACCTCACGGTCAAAGCTCGCATCAGCAGAGGCCTGAATATCCCCCTGATAAAACTTCACAAACGTGGCCTTGCAAACAGACACCTTGTGCTGAAAGGCACAAGACGCACGGATAGACCTTGTAGAGTAAGCCCCATCCAAACAGTGCAAGGGAACCTCTTTGGGATCTTTCAGAGCAGGGCAAAGAGAAGGCAGGACAATATTCTTATTAAGGTGGAAAAAAAAATCAGCTTGGTGACAAAGGGGACCTTCTTATCTCTATAAACAATCTAAAATAAGGCCTTCTACAGGATAAGGTCGCCAATCTAAATGCTAGCTTATGAGTAGGGTTTGCCAAGGAGCGACTGGCAATGGGTTCAAAAATAGATCTCTGGAGAGCTGGCAAGACCATATTAAGATCACCAGCACAAATGTTTCACTAAAGAGTGAGCACCAAGATGTCTCTGAAAGAGAATAGCCAAGGCTGAGTTTTGTCCCTTGAGTACTCAAGGACAGCTGCTGATCAATTTCCCAAGTCGGAGGATGTCTCAGTACCAGCTTCGTCTTGGCTAGTTCGGCACCACCAAGATCACCGGAGCGGCCTCCATCTCGATCCTGCGGAGGAGTGGAGGAAGAATCTGTATTTGAAGGAAGGTGTAAATTAGCTGAAATTGATTTCATGGGGTCACTAGTACATTCGCTGTGAAGGCCTAAGGATCCCTAGTCCTGCGTATGAATCTCTCCACCTTGTTGTTGAAGCGGGATGCCAAGAGATCCATGTCTGAAACTTCACTGGTGACAGATTTGCAGAAACACTCTGGAATAAAGAGACCATTCCCCCACGCCCAGGTGATGACCACTGAGAAAGTCCCCGTGCCAATCATCTAGTCCTGGAATGTGGACAGTGAATAGAGACAGAATGGGCCTTTTGCCGCAAACTAGAATCACTTCCACGTCCTTTTGGGTTGTGAGACTACTGCTGATGGTTTATGTGGTCTTGTCCGACGGTATCCTTGTCTTTTATCCCTGAATCTGGCCTTTCCCATCTCTAGAGTGATAGGTAAATGGCCCTTAGATCCGGAACATTGATGGGAAGTCTGGATTCCCTTGCGGACCAAGCCCCCTGGAATGCCTCCAACCTGAGAACTCCTTCCCAGCCCGATAGGCTGGCATCAATCACAAGAACTGCCCAGGTCGGTGGGGAAAAACAAACAATTTAACTCCCCCAATGTCTGGCTGGTGAGCTACCAGTTCAGTGAGATCCTGGCTTTGTCGGACAAGCATATGGAGCGATCCAGAGACTGGGAGAACTTGTCCCAAACTGCCAGAATTTTGAGCTGAAGGAGCCTGAAGTTAAACTAGGCAAATATCACCACTTTGAAAGAGGCTACCATTAAGAACTAGAACTCTCCCGCAAAACCACACTGACATCAGCTTCTTAAAGCAAAGTGTCCAAACTTGAGAACGAAGGGTTAAAATCTTCTGACAGGGAGGAAGCACAGGACCTGCTGACGAGGAGGGAAGATGGGGACATGTGAGCACACATTCTTGATATCTACTTAACAGTAGATATCACAAGAGTTTTCCAAACTCTTGTGTATTTTAGGTGGAATGCATATCACTGGTAATTTTGGATGTTTAATATTGAGATATTTATATTCCTCTTCATCACACATGGCATATCACACATGACGTGTATCTATTGAGTGGAAAAAAAGGATACATGGCTCAGAATTAAAGTGACTGCCAGAAGCACATATCCAACTATAGTAGTTATAAGGCCTTCAAAGTGAGAAGCTTTCACCTGGAAGAAAAAAAAATATAAAAATATTTGATATATACACACAGACACTATATATATATACACACAGACACTATATATCCAAAAGTATTGGGACACCTGCCCTTACAAGCACTTGAACTTTAATGGCATCCCAGGCTTAGTCCGTATGGTTCAATATTGAGTTGGCCCACCCTTTGCAGCTATAACAGCTGCAACTCTTCTGGGAAGGCTGTCCACAAGGTTTATATATATATATATTATTTTTTTAAATTACATTGGTTGAATGCTTATTTCTACAGGTAAGGTAGTTTCTGGCAAACACAATAACAACCAGTCTAGAGAGCAGAAATGCCTAAAAACCAAAAACCTAATCTGACCCTGCCATTTACAGCCGGATGAAGAAATGTTCATTTGTTTGTAGGTACCATTCATGACCCTTTTCAACACTCACTGGCCATGTCTACTTGGGGCAAAGTTGCACTACTAGGACAAAAAGTGGATGGAGCCTGAAATGCTGTACTCTCCCTCCTCCATAGAAAAAAAAATATGAAAGTTTGTGCTCAGATACAGATTTTTTTTTCTGTTAAATCATTCTGCACCCAAGCTGCACATGTACAATGGATGTAGGTTGCTTATTTTGGAAAGCAGGCCATCACAATCGTCATTTTCGCATGTATGAGCACCCGATGCATGTTTGTGCACATATATGTATGGGTGGGGACTTTAACCGCTTGAAGACCAGGTGTTTAGACCCCCTTCCTGGCCAGGCCATTTTTCAGTGTTCAGCGCTGCAGTACTTTGACTGACATTTATTCCGTCATGCAACGCTGTACTGAAATGAATTTTATACCATTTTTTGGGGAGAGATAGAGCTTTATTTTGGTGGTATTTAATCACCACTGTGGGTTTTATTTTTTACTATATTCAGGAGAAATTACTGAAAATTTTGGGAAAAAATTACATTATGTTATAAAACAACTAATATTATCCACTTTTTCGGTAAAATATAAAAGACGGGGTCACGTCGGGTAAATAGACACCAAACATGTCAAGCGTAAAAATTGCGCGCACTCGCAAAATCGCAAAAAACTAGCATACCCAAAATTGGCCATAGGCGACGCTTTAAAAGCTTTTACCGCTCATCAGTTTAGTGTTATCAGTGATTGATGGCCCTAGAACTATTGCTCTCATTCCGACGTTCGCGGCGATATGTAACATGTGCGGCGTAATGGGCGCAATCGTCGTTTTCGCAGGTATGCGCAGCTGACGCATGTTTACATGCGTGTATGTAGGGGTGGGGACTTTAAAAAAATTCTTGTTTTTTTTTAAATTCTTTTTTGTGTAACTTTAAAAAATTTTTGGGGGAAACTTTAAATGTTTTTACTATTTTTTTTCACTTAACTTTATTGCTATCACAGAGGGGGCTGAGAAACCCCCTTATGTGATAGCAAAAGAGGTGACAGGTCCTCTTTATGGAGACATCAGGGGTCTCCAAGACCCCTAATGTCACCTAGGACCCCCCTGAAGAAGCTGATGAAGCAGAGATCTGCTTCATCAGCTTCTCTCCAGCATCTGAAGCTGGAGAGTGACACGAGAATGCGGAAGTGATGTAATATACATCACTTCCGCATTCTGACAGCGGAGAGGGGACCGGAGGGAGCTAGTGTACCGAGCTCCCTCTGATCCCCTGTGACAGAGGCACTATGCTGGTCCCGGGCTCACACCGGAGCCCGGGACCAGCTTGACAGCGCGAGGGGGAGAGCCGCGGAGGGGGGGGGCGCACGTCTCGGGGCCTCATACAAGCGATCCGCTGGCTCTATAACCGGCGGATCGCTTGTATATTAACGGGCATCGCTGCCTCTTTTCAAATAGCGGGGATTTCCTGCTCGCGGGCGGATGTAACAGGACGTGTATACACGCCCAGTTACATCCAAGAGGTAGTTAAAAAAATTTGTGGTTTTTAAAAAAAAAAAATTGTTCATGTGTGACTTTTTTTTTGTGCAACTTTTTTTTTTCCACTTAACGTTATTGTTATCACATAGGGGGCTAAGAAACCCATGTGACCACTGCTATGCCTGATGAAGGGATCCTGTGTGGTCCCGAAAGAGCTTGTGTATTTGACATAAGTTTTGAATAAATTCATGATTGACTATACTTGGAGTCTGGTGTGCTGATGACATCTCTATAAGGTCCTCGTTATGGAGACATCAGGGGTCTCAAAGACCCCTAATGTCACCTAGGGACCCCCAAACAGGCTGATTAAGCAGAGATTGGCTTCATCAGCTTCTCTCCGGCTTCAGAAGCTGGAGAGTGACACAAGAATGACGAAGTGATGTAATATACATCACTTCCACATTTTGACACCGGAGAGGGGATGGAGAGAGATTGTGTACTTATCTCCCACTGATCCCGTCACAGAGCCCCCATGCTGGTCCTATGCTCGCACCGGGCACAGCAGAGCTCGGCACCAGCGGGGGTCGGATAAAACAGTCGGTAGATTGCAAGTATGTAAACAGGCATCAATGCCTGGGTTTTAAATTTGGGCAGTTCACAGCTCGTGTGCATGAGTGGGCGGGGCCAACAAGATGTCTTTTGACAGCCTGTTACATCCAGAAAGCTCCCAGCCGGCCGTTTAACTATAACAGCTGACTGGAAGGTGGTTAATATATTACTACTGCACTTGCCACAAAAGTAAACTGTATACCAGATAAACTGTAAGCTTGATGAACAAAGACCACTACTCCAGTCAGAAAAAAAACCAAAACCCTACTTGTCTAAGGACTAAAGTTGGGGCCCAATTACTAGTTCCTTATAACAATCTACTTGTCCTGATACATAAACATGTTTTAACCAAAACCATAGTTAACTGTGCTAAGAAGCACTCCTCATTGATCAGTGCAGTCAAGTGACCGCGCTGAACAATGAGCGCTTGCAATTTGCAAACAAAATATAAAATACATGGTGCAGGGCTGCCCTGGATGGCAGTAAGGGGTGCAGATAGCATACCTGTACAGGCGGAGTGGAAAGACTGTGCACTGAATTTTTCACTCTTTAAGAAAAAAATTAACGTATGATCCTGTACTTTTTTTTAATGATTTTCATTGATATTTTTTACTATTTTATCACTTTTACCTGTCACCTGTATTAGATCGATCACAGCATTGTGACGTTCTCCAGCCTGCTCCCTGCTCTCCATCTTGGTGTAATGTGTCGTGGCCCCAGGGGTACCCAAAAGAGCAAGGGTCCCCGTAAACCACGGCAGGGAGGGAGGCAGTCCTCAGGGGTGGGTGGGGACACACTGACCAGCCAGCTAATTACAAGTGATCTGGCACCTGTGCGATCACTGAGATCACTTGTAAGGGCCTATTCACAGAATGTCAGTTTTATGTGCTGACCTGATCCGTACGCTCCTGCACTAAAAATGCACCCCGATGTATGTGGTTTTTTTTGGTCTACAGTTCTCACGTGCGCAGTCCGTTCAGGTTACGACAGAAAAAATATTGCATGTCACATTTTGTCCGGTCAGGAAACGGACCGGAAACGCAAAACGCGTCAAAAACGCACTGCAGCTAACATACTGACAGCACCACTCCAGGCTCTCGGGACCGGTCTAAGAACAAGCCGGCTTGAATGATCGGGTGAGTATACCTTTTTTTGTTAGCACCGAGATACAAGGCAGCAGTTAACCCCTGCAAGGATTAATAAAACTTCCCCTGGAGTGCTTGAATTTTTAAATGATACTAAGGTGCAACACATACTAGTTTTACTACATGATTCTAAAGAGAGACAAAAAAAGACTTGAGTTAGTCATTTTTACATGGACATTGCAAGTGAATACATAATACTCACATAGCCTTCAAATCCAAGACCAACAACAGAGAAATGACCAATGTGGTAAGGACAAAATGCTGAAAAAGGAAGGAGAACAATGGTTATGATGGTGTATTTTAGTTCTGCCACATCCGTGTAACAGCCATGTTGATTCCACAAACACAGAAGAAAAGAAAAAAAAAACACACATTTCCCAGACTGGTCACATTGCATAACATCAGGATAAAGAAACAGGATGATGAAGCTCAGAAACAATAGGCTGCGGACAATTACATGGAAACAATCAGAATGGCAATGTAACAAAAAGGAAAGGCAGAGTCAAGAAACAAGAGAGAGAAAAGTACAAAAAAAAAAGAAAAAAAGCACAGTAAAAGGGAAAATGAGAGAAGCTAAGCACTGCAGGGCATCCAATGGTTAAAATTTTTACTCGCTTCTCCTTTGTAATGTTAGTAGCCGAGATAAGGGGTTTGTTAACCCTGTCTGTACTGTGCTGGCACATTTCATTATAATTTGAAAAATAGATTTAAACACTCCCTGTCCTGTATGTTAATCAAATTAATGAGAGAAACACAATCTACAAATTTCAGCTCTAAGTCTTTGTAAAATGACAGATCATTGTGACGGTGCCCAAAAACCCCTGAATTTAGCCCATTTTGCCTGCTGCAACAAAGCATCTAATTTTTTTTCAAAAATGTATTTTATGGTATGCTGTATAATTGGGGACACATAACATATAGTGGAGTTTTCTCAAACTTGACTGCGAAAGTAAAAATACACTTTAAAGGGAAGGGGAAGTAATTGGGTTGACAAAAGGGAAGGGGAAGTAATTGACTTGCAAACAAGCCCTAACTTTTGGCAAAAGCTAGAGTAAATTTTCAACAGTCAATGGGTCAAAATGTATTGCCAAAAGGAAGACCCACAATGGGACTTCCACAGTGGTGTGGTACATAGTTAATACAGCAATCTGGGCTGCCTGATAATAATTTTGTATGTAAAGAACTCTCAGGCCACTATTTGGCCCACTATGATACAGTGTGTTTCCTGGCAAATATGGCCTCTTATGTTGCCAAATAAATTGAAATACATGTTGCTGCAAAATGTGAAAGATGTGCACCGGGGCCAAAACAGGTAAGACCTGAAACAGGTAAATGAGTTTAGGTAGATACATCATCTTAATAGCAGCTATCCGCCCCAACCATGAAGGTAGATATAAATGATTTTATTTCTTGTGACAAGGAAAGTGTTATTTACTTATCACAAGGTTCATGCAATCTCCAAGGGCAAACTACAAGGAAACATGGCACAATAATCAGGGAACATATCTATACTATAAAGAGATGTTTCAAAGATAATTCTGTGTGTTAACATTTACATTACCATAATAAGGATCCAAGATAGTTACAATTCCGGGGAGGCAAACATACACAGATATTGGCGTGGTGAGAAATGGTGAAGAGAACTGGCTAAAAAAAGGGGGGTTGGATTCATAGGGCAGGCACTTTGGGTCAAAAAGAGTTAAATGCCGATTTTAAGTTTAATTGTTTTATAATTGTTAAGTGATGTTAAGTTCATGGTTTTCCTTTTTATAGTACCAATACTTCTGGTCTAAAGATGCCCATACACCTGCTGATTATCGTACGATAATGGCGGGAAATCCTGTGATCGTACGATAATCGGCAGGTGTATGGAAGGTGTGCGACCGTTTCTACTGTACGGTCGCACGTCTTTTGTCTCCCGAGCAGGCTTGAAGACCCGCCGAGAATCGTATGATTGTCGGCGGGTTAGTGGCGTTCTTGGGAGACAAATGCAGAACGTGCCGGTGTGTGCAAACGCACACTGCCCGCTCAGCATTGCAGTCATCGGAAGCTCTCCCCTCAGCGGGGCGGGCTTGCGAATGATCGCAAGTATGATCTGCCTGTCCAAGATGTGGTGTTGCCCTAAACTCCATAGATATTGGAAAATATTTTTGTTCATAGCTAGGAAATTGATTGTGCAGAAGTGAATCTCTCCTACACCACCAACATGTTCTCGATGAAGATGCACTGTTCATTCTATACTGGAGAAGGAGTGTTTGGTTTATCAACACAGGGGATGTCTTCTTAAGTTTAATAAATTATGTAGTACATGGTTATCCATTCCTGCGTCTGCACCTTATCATTCTATAGTTCATGATTTACTTACTTCATAAGTCTTGTTTTACTACTTTGTGACATCTCACTGTGACATGATCCATTTATTATGCTATAAGAACTAACCCTTCACTATCCTGCTAATACTTTTTGGTTACTTTGCTACCAGCTGTTCAGCCTTAAATATAGTTTGTTACATCTTATATTTGTAACCTGCTCTTCATTTTAGTGTTAATCTTGGGAGTTTCTTCCTTATATGTACTTATTAAGGATATTTTTGTCTTTGTAACCTCTCGGTAGTCATTTTGATACGCTTTTGGCCTCTTACTCTTCTTTTTCTCTCTTGCACCCCCTTTTTTCCCCACTTCTTATCCTACCATATATTTTAACCTTCCTTTACATACTTTTGATCCCTGGGTTTATTACAATTCATTTTGTTTTAATATTGCTTGATTTATGCACTAGTTGCATTGTAACCTTTTTGTGCCATGTGCTTGGATGATCATAAACCACTGATATGTAGCTTTTACTTATGTATTTCTATTCTTTGTGGCTCTGTTTTGTAAAACAAAAACTTTATTCTAATAAAAGTTCTTGATTTAAAAAAATTAATATCAACAAAAATGCCAATTTAAGTGTCTCACTCCCAATTTATAGACCCTTGAAGAGGTGGGGGATGCAAGATCTCAACAAGGAGTTCTATAGAGATATCACACAGAACAGGGGATCAAGGACACCCCAGGCATGTGCCCTTATGTAATGTTAAGGGGACAGACATGGAGCTGCATGCAAATATCTGTGCTGTGGGGGTACATGGTTTGAAGAAAATCCAAATATATAACATGGAGAACCTTCCACAACCATTCCCAGTTAACGTCAAATATTTTCTCCATGTTCAGGGCCAAAAAAGCTAAAGACAGCAGAAGAGACTACCATCAAAACTGTTTCAACACTAACACAAGTTTATGTTCATTGATCACTGCCACTCTTTCCATCACAAAATCTGCCTAGGCACTTAAGATAAGTTTGGGCAACTGTGGAGCAAGTCCATCAGCTATCATTTTAGATAACTTTACATCTTAAGTAATGATATAGGTCTATAGAAACTGTTTACCAGTGAGTAATTATATTTCTTATGCAGCAACGGATTATATGCTGCACTGTAGGGAGATGTGCTTGTTCCAAAAGAATATTGTTAAAGGCCACAGAGGTGGCTGCAAACTAGCAAATCACAGGAGGCACCCCCAGCCCTACAAGAGTGCTCAACGCTGGAGATTGATCCCATGCCATTACTGCTCCCATGTCCACAGCTGTCATTTTTAGTGAGCAATGAGGGATGAGACACAAAAGTGCCCAGCCTAGAGAACAATCCTCTTGTAAATAAAGCACTCAATTGAAGTCCCTGATGATAATGATAATGCCATTGTGAGCTTGACAGTTCAAGATCAACAATATAAGCATTTAAAAAAGGGTTTACTGTTGGTTTCATATTAGTCATGCAAGAAAAAAAAAATCAGAAATTTGGGGCTAGCAGGCATTTCAGCTACGAAACATGCATCACACAATGAGGAACGAATTCTGGGCAGATGGTAGAACAAAAAAAAACCCCACAAAAAAACCCCCAAAACTCAGGAGTGACACCATAACAATACCAGGGATGCCTGGTGATCAATCTTGTTATGAGGAGACTGGCAATGTGATCTGTGGCATGTAAGTAGTGCAACGGTAAAGACTGAACTATCTAATTTCTTACAGCTTCACCAATCATTGGCTTCGGCTCCCCTCTCTATATAGGAAGCCCCAAGGTACTAGAATTTTGGAAAAAAAAAAGGAGGACAAAAATTGTGTAGCTTCTTTCTCAGATTCACTATCTGTAGAAAAAAAAAATACATAAAAAAAATCTGTCACAGTCCTCTTTTTTTAACAAGTCCTGAGAGGCGTGCTCAATTACTTACTTTTAAACAAAATTGAAGGTGACCAATTTAAAATAATAAGTATTTTTTTAATAGGGCAACAAGCCAGGCAGAATTTTAGCAAAAGCACTTAACAGAATAATGCTGTGCAGAAACAAAATTAGTGCTTGCTTTGTCTACGTAGCTAAAAAAAAAATATATATACACCTGAACCTCGATCCCGGTCCAGCCTGGCTACTAAACTGGTCCTTGCAGCCTATTTCCCCCCATCACCCCAGCGATGGAAGGTCACTCAGCGTCCAATACACTATATTGAATGTGATGAATCACAGGTCCTTAGACCACCTGTAATGAATCACAGGTCCTTAGACCACCTGAACGGAGGGGAAGAGAGGCTGCGGGGAGCAGTCTAGCAGCCAGTCAGGATCGAGGTTCAGGTGAGTATATCTTTGTTATTTTAGCTCCCTAGACAAAATGAGCCCTTAACCCTTGCAGTGTGGGGGTAGCCTTACCACAAGGGTTATTTTGTTTCTGTCCGGAGTTTTTCTTTAAATGCTTATTGAAACCTGGAAGGTTCCCCTCTTTCAGGCCAACCCCGGAAACCCTGTATCCTTAACAGATTTGTTCTAGCGTTTGGTGTTTCTCAGCCCCCATCCCCACCCCTACCCTTTTTTTCCTCTCCCTTATTTGGCTTATCTTCCTTATTTCCCGCTATCTCTCTTCTATTGCACTTGTTAGCCAAGTCAGGTAATAGGAACATGACACTTGCTCCCCTTGGTATAATTATATGCTCTCCCTTGGGACCCCTGACTATATATACTTCATCATACAACTCAAAAGGGGATTATATTCAAGGTGTACAGGTTTTTTTTTCAAATCGGTGGGAGATTGGTGGGGGGAGTAGTGTGTGCAGCCTGAGGGGATCATGGAAATTTTGGCCAAGGAGCATTAACACTTCCGTATCTAGTTAGGTGCATGTAGTAAAAACTTGTGCAATAGACCTAATCACTGATCTGTATCAGGGGCGTAGATAAG